ATAGCAGGGGGGTCTGGGTAGGGGAGCTTACCGTCAAGGTGTGCGGAAAGCGGTTCACCATCCTGCCGCTGGCCAGTGAGTTGGCGGCGGAGGTCGGCAAGCCACGCCTCGAACTCTAGGGGCTGACCTTCAGCGTCGAAGCGAAGCTCCGCCGCCATCAGGAACAGTCCAGTGCGGTGCAGGGCAGTGCAGCTAGGTGGAGTGCGGTGCAGTGCGGTGCAGTGCGGTGCAGTGCTGTGCAGTGCGGTGCAGTGCGGTCCAGGGCGGTGCAGTGCTGTGCAGTGCGGTGCAGTGCGGTGTAAGGCAGTACAGTGTGGTGCAGGGCGGTACGATGCAGGGCAGTGCAGGGCGGGGTGGGGGGGAACCGTACCAGTGAGGAGGACGGGGCCGGGGCAGCGGGGCCGGGCAGGCGCGCCAGGGCCGGGCGAGGGCGACGGGGCCGGGCGGGCGCGATGGGGCCGGGCGGGCGCGACGGGGCCGGGCTGGTGCAACAGGGCCGGGCCGGGGCGTCGAGGCCGAGCGGGCGCGACGGGGCCGGGCAGGGGCGACGGGGCCGGGCGGGTACGACAGGGCCGGGCCGGTGCGACGAGGCCGGGCGAGCGGGACGGCGGCCGGGCGGGTGCGACGGGGCCGGGCGGCTGCGACGGGGCCGGGCGGGTGCAACGGGGCCGGGCGGGCGTGACGGGGCCGGGCCGGTGCAACGGGGCCGGGCTGGTGCGACGGGGCCGGGCTGGGGCGACGGGGCCGGGCGGGCGCGACGGGGCCTGAAGGCGGACGGGGCGCTACAGGGCCCACGAAGGGCGCGACGGGGCCCAGGAGGGGCGCTACGAGGCCTGGGAGGGGCGCGACGGGGCCCAGGAGGGGCGCTACAGGGCTCAGGGAGGGCGCGACGGGGCCCAGGAGGGGCGCTACGGGGCCCAGGAGGGGCGCGACGGGGCCTGGGAGGGGCGCTACAAGGCCCAGGAGGGGCGCTACGAGGCCCAGTAGGGGCGCTACAGAGCCCAGGAGGGGGGCGCGACGGGGCTTGGGAGGGGCGCGACTGGGCGAGGGGCTAGAGGGGTGAGCGGAAGCGGTAGGTGGGGGGATCCTACCTACGCGTGATACCATAACAGAATTGAAAGAGTGGATAATAGAGTGAGAGTACACACAAATATACCTAAGTGTTGTACCCTCTAAGAGGTGACCCTATACAGTCTATACAAACATAACAGATACACCTGTTTGACATGTCTCTGGTGTGGGGGACTTAGCCGAAATCTTTGGGGTGTGAGGGGTGTGTGTGGAGCCGGTACACATATGTTTCAGTTTCAGAGAAACTCGATTCACTTGTCTAAAAATCAGAGAAACTGGTACACCTAGTCTGAGAAATTCAGAGAAATCTTAAAAGATTGTCTAGGCCAATCAGAGTTTTTTCAAACCGTTGTCTGAAAAATCAGAGAAACCCCTAAAAACCAGTCTGAAAATCAGACAATGAGACAAAAAAAGTCTGCTATTTAGGACCCTGCACGCCATTCCATGGCTTTCTACCGTTCTTACTAGCCTAGCTTTCTTAACAGCACCCTCTTGTACCACATTGCGATGTCAATGAAGTAAATCGTCTGGTGTTGTAGTAGACTAAGTATAAAACTATAAACACGAACACTTGGCAAATCCTCAAGTGTTGGTCCAGGATCTTTGCTGGAATGGTAGACTAGTAAGACAGCGGAAGTATTTTAAAATGTTATAGTCAAGGTTGAATAACCTGAATACGTGAACTTGTGTGTAATCAAAGTTAATAATGAAAAGACTTGACAGAGATTTATAGTTCTATGAAAAGTACCTATTCGCTAATGTACCTGTTCGTCACTATCGCGCTATGCGCCCTAGATGATAATGAAGAGGTGCGACTGTTTGCGTGACTGAAACGACTGTCCTATGACGAGCGCTATTTGCTGACGTCATCCTACGGACTTATGTTCTACAGTAAGATTCGACACTAACTACACTTAATCGACTTACAGAAATGCTAAGTACCAATTATATCACAACAGTCAACACATAGACAACTCACAACTGCTGGAAGTTCATTGTCGTGGCAGCCAATTTGGGCACAAGCCAAAGCAGATGCTAGGCATGAAAAAAAAAAAAAAAAAAAAAAAAAAAACCATGTTCACAGCAGGTCTACAACCTGCCAAATCTCCCCAGGCCTCTCTCCTGAGCCGCCCTCCCATCAATAAATATGTACACCTGCAAACAGCCCCAAATCAGGACCCAAGACTGCTAACAGGCCTCCCAGGGCTTCCCTTCACTTCACTGCTCCTCCACCATGCACGACCCTGGTAGCCCCGTACCCCATTTCCCCTTCCCCCAATTCTTAGATACCCCAATTCTTCGACACTAGTCTTGCACGCCAGTTTCCCGAAAGGTTTCCTCTCCCCAAGTACATACCAGAAGAACTCAAAATTCCCAACTCCCACGGACCCGGAACCTATGTGTGCCCTGGTCTCGACACTGGCCTGGATGGAGCCTCGGGATTCTCCCGGAAATCTATCGCTTAGGTCCCCCACACACGCATCCCGGGCCCTTCTAGACCCCCGCTAGTCTTGAATCACCTTCACTGCGCACCCCTCCTTTTCCAGCGACCCTGGCACGCGTTGCAATTTCGGGCACCTGTGCACGCGCACCCTCTTCAGCCGGGGCAACTCCGCCAAATCCGCGGGCAGGGACTCGAATTTCTCGCACCACCACACAGTGAGGCTCTCGAGGCTCGCGCACGCAGCCATGGAGGGACACAGCTGATGCAGCCGGCGACAGTTCTCCACAGAGAGCGTCCTAAGCTTAGGCAGCTGGCTGAACGCGTCTGGAAGGCGCGTGAGAATCGGGCAGCCATAAATACTTAACTCCTCCAGGCTGGACAGCGAGCCGATGGATTCCGGAAGGCTTTCCACCGACACGCTCCGGAGCTTCAGCTGCGCGAGCTTTTCCAGCTGTCCGAAGTTTTCGGGCAGGCGCGACAGGCAAGGAAGGCCCTCGATTTCGAGCAGCCGCAGCCGCGCGAGCAAGCAGAGCGACTCGGGAAGCGCCGCGAGCCCGTCGAGATGGTCGAGCCGCAGCTGCTCGAGGCGCGCGAGCTGGCCCATGCCGTCCGGCAGCGCGGCGGCCGTGCCGCTGTGGCACCTGTGCACGTGGAGCGACGCGAGGCTGGTGAGGCAGGAGAGCGACGGCGGGACGCCCGCCATATTCTCGCAGCGCAGGTAGCGCAGCGCGGGCATGCGGCGGAAGAAGCTGTCGGGCGCTGTCGCCCCGGGGAGGTCTTTAATATGCACCTCGACGAGGCGCGGGAATGGGCGCTCGCACTCTGGGAGCGTTGAGAGGGAGGGGAGAGAGGCGAGGTCGAGGAGATGGAGAGACGACAGCGCCGAGAAGGACGCGGGGATAACGCGGAGGCTCTTCATGTGCTGAAGCGAGAGGTGCTGTAACACGGACAGGAAACCGAGGCCAGCGGGAAGGTGCTCCATTGCGGGGAGATGCGCGAGGGCGAGGCGGTTGAGTCGAGGCAGGTCGCCCGTGTCTTCCGGAAGCGACGCGAGCAGCGGGCAATGCGACACTTGCAGCGACTCCAGCGACGCCAGGCATGCGACGGACGGCGGGAGATGCGCCAGCAAGGCGAGGTGACGCAAGACGAGAGCCTTCAGCCGGGGAAGATGGAGCGCGGACGGAGGGAAGGAGGCGAGGAGAGGGCACTCGGTGACGGAGAGCGACTCGAGGGACGTGAGTCGCGACATGGCGTCCGGCAGGCGCTGAAGCGCGTCGAGCCATCCGAGGTCCAGCGTCTTGAGCGCGCGGAGTTGACCCGGCTGGAAGTCGGGGAAGGAGCGGAGCTGCGATGTGACGGCCACAGAGAGAGCCGCGAGCGACGGAAAGGTGTTGACGGCTCGCTCGAGACTCGCCTCGTCGCACGCGTCTTGCCGCATCCACGCGACGCCGGGGTGCACGTGGCAGGCGACTCGGTGCCATCGCTTGCTGACCAGCGCGTGGTCGAACTTGCGTCCGCCCGCGGCGACTCGACAGAGGATGAGGCCGAGAATCTCGTCGGGGATGCTCCGGGAAAAGAGGTCGCTTCCGCGCTCGCGGTCCATGGTTGAATAGCAGGCTGGAGGTCCACGACCAGAAAGGGCTGAGTATTGCGTTCAAGACTAAGGAACAAGTACCTTCCAGTGATGCTAACTGGTGGGCTCCGAATTCAGGCACATGAGCAAGAGAGAGTTTCAACCTGAATGAGGTTGGAATGTCAAGGGGCCATTTCTATGGAGTGGGTGGGTTAGATGGGGGCGACGTAACCAGAGGCGCGAGAGGAGAGATTCGAGAACAGGTAGGTTGCCCAGCAAAGTGGGCAGTGGGGTCTCCCAAGCCGCATGGCATGGCATGACTTACCCGAAGAACTCATCCATACCAATCTCAGGAGGCTTGGCTCGCGTTAGAGTGGCTGGTTTGCGCTTGCCGTTCGGCCAGCTGCTTAGAGATTTGTTCGCTGGAGGCTCGGTGCACCGCGTGGTCGAGAGGGAGACGCGGATTGGTTGAGCCTAGTTCAGGCAATCTGCCTGGGTGAGGTAACGATATGGCGAAGCTGCCATGCTGGATATTTCCGCCAAGTCGCAGGGCAGCTTGGGATGCACCCAACCAGCAGCTCTCCTTGTCGAATCCCCGATTTTATGGGACCTAAGTAGCCGATGCCAAATTTTTATCTGGGAGCGCCACGTCAGGTTACAGGTCTTCCAGCACCAAGCCAGCAGTAGCTGATGCGGCAAGGTCGTTGAATCTGTCTCGTCATGGTTGGGTTTCGTCTGTTCGGCGTTAGCTCTATAAGCGGGTCCGTTTGGTGCTGCTGCATTACTATATGCCTTATGCATTCTCCCATTCATGTCAAGTGCTTCATAGGGTATGCCAATGTGGAACATATGGTTTAAGTTTATGAAATATGTTTTTACGTGAAAAAAATACAGGAGCGATGTGGTTATGCATTTTATTTCTTATTATGAAGATAATATTTAGATATTAAAACATTCGATAGATATTAATGGATATTACGATGCTACGTATGAAAGAACGTTCTATACATGTGGCATTTCTCTAAATTCGAATTGACAGTGAACATTCTAGCATCCAGCCAGGACCGTATCCACGAGCGTGCCCCACCTGAGATTTATCACATGGGAGGGACCCTGCTGGCACCCAGCCAGGTTCTCCTGACATGCTGCTGGTTCTGCTTTGCCGCACCTGCGTTTCGAGCAGAGGTCCTCCTGACTGACCATCCTCCTCCACCTGACCTCCAAACCAAACAGCCAAGATGCTTGCATTTCTGTTACTGTATTGGCGCATTCGATTCGACTGCAGAACAGGTTTGATTTGGTTGGACTTGACCTTCTCCATAAAAGGACAAGTCGGCCTAGACGTGCGTTTGGCTTGGAGTTCGCTTCGGGGTGCCCCTGCAGGCTCGGAGTCAAACAGTTAATGGGTAACGAATCTGTAAAATGTAATTACCCCTTGCATTGCCTTGCCTTGAGAGTAGATTTTAAGCCCGTGGACGACTTTCACAATGCATGGAGCTTTTATTACAGACAGAACACTACCAGAAGTGTGCGCAATCATTCTAAAACACCCATGCGAGATGCTGTGTACTGTACAAGACAACTCGGAAATTAGTTTCTGTGGTCACTGCCTCACTGCCAGGAGTTCCCAGGGGCAGCCGCCACACCGCACAGGTGTACACCTGCAAGCATGATGCGACAACCTGCAGCACTGTGCAAATTTTTGTGGCTGCTGCACAGCCGCCACCACCCTCTCCCTGTACTCGCGTCGCATTTCGTACTTCCCCCTTCACCCTTCTTCACTGCCACGTTGTCCCATGAATCCAGCCCAGGCCCATGGCGACTCCTCCCTTGCTGCTGTAACTCAAAATCCCCGACGATCCTCGTCACACCATAGCTGCTCCGTCCTTCCCTCCAGCGAATTCTCGGGATAAGCAGCGTAAAATATATTCCTTCAGCCTTCACATGCACCCCTAGCTTCAAGGAAGGGACTAGACTCAAGAGGCTCATCGTCCCATATACTTGAATCCGTGCGACGTGAGACACGCGGCACGTCCATTCTAGTCCGTCTGCCGCGGTACAGCACCCGCGTTCTGCTCGTTGCTACTACCCTTGTTCCTGGCTCCGCATCTCGTCCTGATTGAGACGTCTCCTCCCACAAGAACCACGCAGTAAGTCCACCCCGCGCTGCCACGATCCCTCACTGTCGCACCATCCCCGCCCTGCATCCATCCATCCGTCCGTCCTTCTTGCTGTTGACCTCACGGCATCGCAGCGCCTGCGTCTCTCGCCCTCTCGCCGCTGAATCTGATCCCTGGGCCGTTCCACGATCAGCGAGCGCCGATCCTCCCAGCAGCCATTTGCGAGCGCACGGCTCCCGGACCATCCTCCCCTTGCAGTGCGTCGCCACTTCGCAGAAGCTCGCTCTGTTGCGTCGCACTCCTCCCCACACACAACCCATCCGCTCTGCTGACCCCTCCAGAACCTTCACTCTCCATCCACAAGCCCTGATTCCTTTCCCTTACACTCACGGGTCCGTTCCCATTGCTCACCACTTCTCACCGCCCCTCACCTCTCGTCACCCCTGTCAAGCAGCCCAGCCGCGGTGCAATCCCCTGCGCGAATGGCGCGTGTCTCCGCAAGCTCCGCGCCCCGCCGTGTCATTCCGCCCGCACCGATGGTCGTCTCCGCAGCGCTGCTGCTGTCGCTGCTGCTGGCGGGGGCAGGCGGGGGGACGCGAGTGGCAGCGGCGGAAGACGTCCTCGTGGCGAGCGCGCACGGTAAGACGTGTCCCTGACGGGTCCGTGAGGCGGCAGGCCGATTTTACAGCGGTACGACGCCGCGAGTGCAAGCTCGGATGGAAGTGGCTCGTGGTAGCTCAGGCCGTGGCAATGATTTCCCCACCTCCTCATCCCATGCTTCCTATGAATCCCACTCTCAATCGCCCCCACACCCTCTCGCCTCAACAATCCCTCCCCCGAACCCCCCCCTCCCCGCATTCCCACCTCCCCCTGCTGGCATCCCATCCCAACCCCCTTTCCCCCCTCTCTCCCCGCGCCCCCTTTCCATGACCCTCTCCCCCGCGCGCTGCGCCTTCCCCCTTGCCCCTCCTCCCTCCGCGCTTCCGCGCGCGCAGTGCCGCTGATGATGGAGGTGCGGCGGCAGTGGGCGCGGTACGTGGACCTGTCGTCGTGGGACGCGCGCCAGCCGTGCGCCAAGTGGGCGTTCGTCACGTGCAACAAGCGCACGGGGGAGGTCCGGTGAGCGCGGGGGAGGGTGGTAGGCGTGGCGACGGGACGGCGCATATTAAGAGTAGGGAGTGTTGGGGTAGGGAGTAATCGCGGAAGGGAGGTTTGGTACCAGGAGATCCGGTGTTCCTTTTGCCGCAATGCGACCCCTTCCGCCCTCCCCCCCTTGCGCCTATGCATCGCTCGACTATCCTCCGCTCCCCGCCCTCCGCCATGCCCTCCCTACCTTCCCCGCGCCTTCCCTCCGCACACACCCAGGATGCGCTTCTTTCGCCTCTTGCAACTCATCCGTCCCCACCCTCTCTCCCACCTCCACCTTCCCCCCGTCCCCTCTCCCCCCCACCCCCCTACCCTCCGCCCCCGCCTTCTCCCCCGGCTCTCTTGTGCGCGTGGCAGGCGCATCGACGTGGCGAAGAAGGGCATAGAGGGGCCGCTGCCCGCCGTGCTGGGGAGCATCAGCACGCTCTTCCAGTTGTACGTGCGCTGCTGCGCTGCTTCCGGCCTGCCCTGCTGCCCTTCTGTCCCCCATCTCCACCCTCCCGCCCACTCTGCTTCCTCCCGTGCCCGCCCTGCTTCCACTGCTGCCGCCCTCCCCAGCCTTCGCCTCTCGCTCACTCGCTCACGCTCGCATTCACAAGCGCACGCACGCACACGCTATCAGTCACTCGCCCACTCACACACACCGCCAAAAGCAGTCGGTCCACTGTCCCTCCCTCATTCCATGCTGCTGCTTCCCTTCCCCTCGCCCTGCCCCTCGCCCCCACCAGCTTCGCCAACGACAATAAGATCACGGGCCCCATCCCCGAGTCCTTCGGCCAACTCTCCCAGCTGCAGCAGATGTAAGCCGCCCTCCCTTCTCCGCCCTCCCTTCTCCGCCCCTCGCCTCTCCGCCCTCCCTTCTTCGCCCCTCGCCTCTCCGCCCTCCCCTCTCTGCCCTCCCCTCTCCGCCCTCCCCTCTCCGCCCTCCCCTCTCCGCCCTCGCCTCTCCTCCCTCGCCTCTCCTCCCTCGCCTCTCCACTATATGGTTTCTCCCTCCTTGACTTCCTTCTTCCGTTCGTCCCTCCCTCCCTCTCTCCCTCCCTCTCCCACAGTGTGCTGCGCGGCAATCGGATCACGGGGCCTCTGCCTCGCAGCATGGGCAAGATCTCCTCTCTCTGGGAAATGTTCGTCCTCGCTCGCTCTCTCGCTCTCACTCTCTCGCTCTCTGACTCTCTCCCTCTAGCTTTCTCGCGCTCTCACCCTCTCGCTGTATCTTCCTCCTCCCTCCCCCCTCGCTTCTTTTCTCTGCTCGCTCTCTTTGCTTGCTCGCTCTCTTTGCTTGCTCGCTCTCTTTGCTTGCTCTCTCTCTTTGCTTGCTCGCTCTCTTTGCTTGCTCGCTCTCTTTGCTTGCTCGCTCTCTTTGCTTGCCCGCTCTCTTTGCTTGCTCGCTCTCTTTGCTTGCCCGCTATTGTTGCAACCTTTCCTGGGACCTTCTTCCCCATGCCTTGACCGCCTTCCTTCGCCCCTCCCTCCCCCTCTTCTCCCTCCCTCTCCCTCCCTCACACTGCCCCCCTGCAGTCAGCTGCAGGGCAACATGATCCGTGACGTCATTCCCGCCATGTGGAAGGGCATGACAGGCCTGGGGAATTTGTAAGCTGCTGCTGCACTCTACTGTGCCCCGCCATGCATGCCATGCCTCGCTTGTCTGCGTTGAGGAGTCTCAACACGCGTGCTGCCACCGTGCTTACACGTCTTGTGCTGCCCTCCCTGCACCGTGCATGCTGCGCCACTGCCCGTACCACACACCACTTGCTCCCGCCACAGCCATGGGATCCGCGTTGGTGCTTCACTCCCTGCAAGGCTCCTCAGCAGCTAACGCCACCGTCATCCAAGGCTCACTCTACCCTTCTTCCCCCCTTTCTCCCCATTTCTCCCCCTTCCCCCCCTTTGCTTCCGGTTCTGCCATCCTGCTTTCGTCCTCTGCTAACCCTTCTGTACACCGATGGCGCATGGCACGTGGCGTGTGGCGTGTGGTGCATGGCGCACGGTGCACGGCGGCAGCTACATCGCGGACAATCAGATCCAAGGGCCGCTGCCAACGGAGCTGTGCCAGATGACGTCACTGCAGCGCATGTGAGCATGGTGTGGGAGGGCCAGTAGTGTGGTGTGGGGGGGATGTGAGTCTACCCACCGCCCCTGCTTTCCCATACACACACCCACTTCTCCCGACCTTGCGCGCAAGTCTCGCATCGCACAGCACTGCACGGCACCCATCACATCCGCTCCTCTGCTCCTGGCTCCCTCCCAACGCTTTTCCCAAAGAAGACACCCCCCCTTTCCCCCCCTCAACCCCTTCACACTGACACCCTATCCACCCCACACCCCCCTTTCCCCTGTTTCCCCTTGCCCTGCCCAGTCGGTTCAGCAACAACCAGATATCGGGGCCCATCCCAGCATGCATTGGCGCCCTCAAGGACATGGTCAACTTGTGAGCGGGGAAATGGGGGCAGTATGCACGTTGCCCCTGGGAGGGGCTGCCTGGCTGCCTGGCTTGCTCGCTGCCTGGCTGGCTGGATTGCTTGCCTGCTGCCTTGGCTTTCTGCTTGTTGCGTTGTCGGCTGAGCTGGGTCAATTGTGAGTCTGGGTAGCTGCATAAACGCTTGCTGCCTGGGGGATTGGGCGCTTATTGTGCGGCGAGAGTACTCTGAAGTGATAGATACCTCTTTCTCCCCTCATCTCCCTCCCATCCCCCCTCCTTCACCATCTGCTCGCTTCTTCCCTCTCTCCCTCTCACTCCTTTACCTCCCTTCTCTAACCCCTTCTCTCATAATCTCTCCCCTCTCCTTCCCCCTTGCCCTCCCCGCCCACACCATTCCCTTGCCCCCCATTTTTCCCTCAGCAGCTACCTGAACAACAATCGCCTCACCGGCGTCTCTCACTCTTCCCCCCCTCATCTTTTGCCCTCCCCGCCCACGCCATCCCCTCACCCCCCTGTTCCCCGGCAGCTACCTGGACAACAATCGCCTGACGGGCTTCATCCCGGCGTCCATTGGCAACTTCAGCAAGGCTGTCAACTTGTGAGTCAGCCGCAGGGGGGCTCGGATCTCCGCTTGGTAGCAGCACGTCCGGGATTCCCCACGACAGGACACGATTTGATAGGACAGGAGAGGACAGGAGAGGACAGGAAAGGAGACGACAAGATATGACAAAACAGGACAGGTCACCATAGGAGAGGACCCGGGACGCCCCTGCATCTCCATGCTTGCTGGCCTTAAGATCGCCCTGGGTAGCCTCTGCTCTCTTCCCAGCCCCCAGCTTCCTGCTGCCACATAAAGCGCTGCACTGGGTGCCATTCCTCATACACAGACCGTGCTGTCGCCCTGCCCTCCGCCCCCCATTCCCCCCTGGCAGCTTCATCAACGGCAACAACATCGATGGGCCCATCCCCAGTACTGTCGGCGGCATGACCAGCCTTGACACCCTGTGAGCCTGCCTGCCCCCTGCTACCCCACGCCGTGCCGACTTGTACCATGCCAACTCATGCAATGGCAACCCATGCCATGCCATGCTAACCCATGCCATGCCTGAAGCACCTCTCTCCCTTCATCTTCGCACCAACCTCCATCCCAACCTATCCACCTCTCTCCACCACTTCCCTGATTTATCCCCTCCTCACTTTCCCAATCCCTTCCCTCCTTCCTCTCTGTCCTCGGCTTTCACTCACCTGCCTGTCTCCCCTCCCTCGGCATGCTCCTGAGCAACAGCTGTATCAAGGGCCCTCTGCCCTCTGCCCTCTGCCCTCTGCCCTCTGCCCTCTGCCCTCTGCCCTCTGCCCTCTGCCCTCTGCCCTCTGCCCTCTGACCTCTGCCCTCTGCCCTCTGCCCTCTGCCCTCTGCCCTCTGCCCTCTGCCCTCTGACCTCTGCCCTCTGCCCTCTGCCCTCTGCCCTCTGACCTCTGCCCTCTGCCCTCTGCCCTCTGCCCTCTGCCCTCTGCCCTCTGCCCTCTGCCCTCTGCCCTCTGCCCTGCTTCTCCCCTCCCCCCTCCTCCCTTTTCCTGATCCCCCCTCCCACATTTCCGCTTCCCCCTCCCCACTCCCCCCTTCCACCCACCCCCCCCTTCCCCCTTCCTCCTGGGCAGGTTCCTGAGCGGCAACTGGATCAAGGGCCCTCTGCCATCCACCATCGGCAACCTCAAGAACCTCAAGCACTTGTGAGGAAGAGGGATGATGGAGGGGGGGAGGGGGGGGTTGAACGATGGGGGAAGAGGGGTTGGGGGGAGAGCATGAGGGTGGGAGAGGCACGGGGGGAGGGGGTGAGTGAGCGATGGAGAAGAAGGATGGGGCGAGACGGGGGGTTAAGGGTAGTAGAGAAAGGGCGAGGGGGACGATTGGACCAATGCCACCAGTCTATAGGCAAGGGCAGTTCGTAATGTGTGTGCTGCCTCATGCCTCTCTGTTAGTTCCGCACTCATGGACTCTCTATCCGTTTGTGTGTGCGTGCATGTGCGTATGTGTCTGTATGCACGTGTTTCTGCGCATGGCCTGTGGACGACTGCGTGTGCATGTGTGTGCATTCAACTGGCCCATGGCAGCATAATGGAGTTCAACAACATATCTGGCCCCATCCCGCCCACCATCGGAGACATGGTCAAGTGCGAGCGCATGTGAGTCCCAGATGCCCTCCCAGCTTCACAGGACGCCCCCCACCTTCACGGGATGCCCCACCAGCGTTTTCTCTTTCAGAAACCTCAAGAACAGGGATGCCTTCGCTGCCCATCGTGCCTTTTTTTGTTTTGTTTGCTGTGCCTACCATGTATCTTCACCATCACTCTCCCTGCACTCCCCCCCCTCCCCACTCTATCCCCCACCTTGCTCGCCTCGCCTCAACTCCTTCATCTCCTCTTTTCTGCTCTTTACATTCTCCCTCTCCCTCCTCACCCCAGCTGTCTCCCCGACGACTCCCTGTCACTCAATCTCCCTACCTCCCTCCCCCCCCTCAGTCTCCTGGACAACAATTTCCTCACGGGCGTCATCCCCCCCACCATCGGCAAGCTCACCAACCTCGTGTGGCTGTAAGGCCTTCTCCGCTTCTCCCGCCTTGTTCCTTCTTAATTCACTCTCATCGACAGTTGTTCCGTTGTTGCCACGCAAGCTGTGCACTCCTTGCCCTTCATTCTGCAGATAATCCAACTCCGTTTGCCCTCTCCTGCCTCCATTCTGCACATCCCTTGGACTCCACACCATCGCCATCACCAGGTTCCTCCAGGGCAACTTCCTGGAGGGCAAGGTGCCTCAGTCCATTCCGAAGCTGCCCAACCTCTTCTACTTGTAAGCCCACACCTGTTGCCTATCTCCCCGTGCTGCCTAAATCCCCTCAACTCGTCCTCCTGCCCCTGCCCCCTCTCTCTTTCCTCCTCTCCCCTCCCCTCTTCCTCCTCACTGAATGTCCTGCCCCTCCACCTTTCTCTCTCACACTCACTCTCTTCCCGTTCTCTCCCTCTCTCCCTCTCTCCCTCTCCCACTCTCCCACTCTCCCACTCTCCCACTCTCCCACTCTCCCACTCTCCCACTCTCCCACTCTCCCGCTCTCCCACTCTCCCGCTCTCCCACTCTCCCGCTCTCCCACTCTCCCGCTCTCCCACTCTCCCGCTCTCAATCCCTCTCGTACTGTTCTCCCCACAGCACAGCCACCCCTGCTACCTTCATGCCCATAAGCCCCACCCCCCGCACCTCTCCTCCCAAACCTCCCTTACCACCTCTCCGCCCCACGTTCCCTCTCCCTTCCCTGTCCCCCTCCCCCTCCCCGCCCGCAGCAACGTGGCGAGCAACCGCCTGACAGGCACGGCGAACTGGGACTTCAGCAACGGGGCCATCAAGGGCGGGGAGGTCAACGTGCGCTCCAACTACTTCTATGGCACGCCCTCCTTCACTGCTGCCGGCAAGCCCTTCTGCCCCGTCACCAAGACCTCCAAGATGAACGGCCTGGATCAGATCTTCCTCTCGTCCTCCAAGTTCAATTGCTTCTCCTTCCCGGCGAAGTACCCCTGCCCTGGGTTCAACGAGCCTGGGTACGGCAGTCCTGCGGTGTGCCAGGGGTTTTGTGGTGCGAGCTCGCCCCAGGGCACGTGCAACGGGCTGGGGTATTGCAGCAAGACGAGTGCGGTGGTGGGGGGGTGGGGGTGTGTGTGTGATGCCGGGGCCACGCTTGCCCCTAACGGCACCTGGTGCTTGCCTCGCAGCGGCAGTGGCAGCAGCAGCGGCAGTGGCAGCGGCAGCGGCAGCGGCAGCGGCAGTGGCAGCGGCAGCGGCAGCGGCAGCGGCAGTGGCAGCGGCAGCGGCAGCAGCAGCGGCAGTGGCAGTGGGAACTGCATTGGCGGCCGGGCGAACAGCAGCAATGGTGGTTGTGGCAGGACGGGCTCTAGCGTTGAGGAAGACGACAGCAAGAGCAAGGGCAAGGGCAAGGGGAAGAGCAAGGGGAAGGGGCAGCTCTCAATGACTTTCATGAGAGGCTGATTGGGGGGAGCATGCGTGTGCGATGGGGGGAGGAGGCGAGTGATGGCAGAGGATGCTTCTTGGAGCTGGCCTTTAATCCCTTGAGGATCGACTGTTGTACCATTTTGGTGGCATGGCGTTTAGCAACCTGCTGTGCTGGCGAGGGAAGGCAGCACAGATCCACTCTGACTCACTTCATGAGAGCGGATTCTTATTTCTACAGCCATCACTGCTTGGTTGGTTTGCACGCGGTGGAACGGCCTGAGCTAAGGGACACTACATTAGACGCGCTGGTTTGTTGGTGGCCTTCTAGTGTCCTGGGAGTAGAATGGGAGGTAATAAGGGGTGCTAGCTACACTGCTCTGATTTGTGATGCCAGCTGTTGTAAAATAAACATTGTATTTCTGGCTGAATTTTACTGGCAAGCAAAATAAACACACTGTCTAGATGTTTATGGTCGAAAGTCACCAGCGATTTAAAACCCGCGGCCCAAATGTCAAACATATTTGTGTATGTTTAGTAGATTACATAGGGTCTTGCCATAGAGAGTACAACCCACTAGCTATATACTTATGTATCCTCTCATTCTAGTCATTCGTTCTATTTCTAAGATGGTATCATGACTAGGCTAGGTCCCACCCGCCCACCCGCGCTTCCGCCTTAGGTCCTAGCCTTTCTCGTCGCCTAGCTCCTAGCCGCCCCACGGGCTCCGCCGCCCCGTTGCCTCGCTGGCCCCACGGCCCCGTTCCCTAGCACCTAGCCGCCCCCGTGGCCCTGCGGCCCCGTCGCCTAGCACCTAGCCCCCGCGGCCCCGCTCCCCTAGCTCCTAGCCGCCCGTGGCCCCATCGGCCCCCCTGTCGCCTAGCGCCTAGCCGCCCTGCTGGCACCGCGGCCCCGTCGCCTAGCGCCCAGCCCCAGCGGCCCCGCTCCCCTAGCTCCTAGCTGCCCGTGGCCCCGTCGGCCCCCGTCGCCTAGTGCCTAGCTGCCCACGGCCCCGCTGCCGTGCCACGTCGAGCCTAGCCGCCCCGCTGGCCCCGCGGCCCTGTCGCCTAGCGCCCAGCCGCCCCGTCGCCTAGCCGCCCCGTGGCCCCGTAGCCCAGCCGCCCTGCGGCCCCCGTCGTCCAGCCGCCCCATGGCCCCGTTGTCCCAGCTGCCCCTGCGGCCCCGCCGTCCCAGCTGCCCCGCGGCCCAGTCGCCCAGCCGCCCCCGCGGCCCCGTCGTCCCAGCTGCCCTGCGGCCCCGCCGTCCCAGCTGCCCCCCGGCCCAGTCGCCCAGCAGCAGCCCCGCGGCCCCGTCGTCCCAGCTGCCCCGTGACCCCGTCTCCCAGCTGCTCCGCGGCCCCGTCGCCCAGCCGCCCCGCGGCCCTGCTGCCTAGCCGACCCGCGAACCGTCGCCCAGCTGCTCCGCGATTACGTCGCCCGGCCGCCCCTCGGCCCCGTCTCCCAGCTGCTCCGCCGCCGTGGTTCCCGGTCCCCGCTCGCTTCACCTGCCCTCTGTACTGCACTGCACCGCTCTACACCGCTTTGCACCGCACTGCACTGCACTGCACTGCACCATACTGCACCGCTCTGCACCGCACTGCAGCGGCCCTCATGGCGGACGCGGTGCTGCGCTTTGACGCGGAGGGTCAGCCGATTGAGTTCGACTCATGGCTCGTCGATCTCCGCCGTCACCTCATTGGTCAGCGGCAGGACGGCCACTCCAAGGCCATCCATATTGACGGTACGCTCCCCTGCCCTGACCCCCCTGTTGCTCTCCCCGCTGACCCCACGTCTGCTGACCGAGAGTCCGCCGCTGCTGCAGCCCTTGCCCGTGCTGTCTGGCTGACACGTGACGTTGTCGCTCAGCTCGCAATTAGCCATGCCCTCCCCCTGTCAGAGCGCCCTCACTTTAAGTCGGTCAGGACTGCGCAGGAGTTCCTAAAGGCTGTTGTCACGTGTTATTCCACCCCGTCCTCTGCCTCTGTCGGCCGACTGATCCTTCCCATGCTCTTTCCTCATTGTCGTTGACCTAGCCACGCACCTGCGCACGCTCGACGCTACCTGGCGTGCTGCTTGCACTGAGGCCCAACTTCGTGTGTTCCAGCCCCCTATCTGCTCTACCCTTTACCTGCTTGCCAACCGCCTCCCAAACCGCCTTGCCACTGCCCGCGACCACTTTCTTAGTCTGCACCCTGCTGACCTCACCCTCTCCGACTTTGTCGACACCCTGTCAGCCATAGAGACCCGTGTCTCCTCCCCTCTCTCCTGACCCGACTCTTCCGCCCCACGTCTGGGCTCGTCGTCCATCTCGTGCTTGTCCTACCTCCCCTGTACCGTAGTCTCACCCTATGTTGCTTCGCTCTAATGCGTCTTGTGCTCCTCCGCTCCTCCCGTCTCCTCCTCCGTCATCGCACGTCTGTTCCTGTCTCCAGCCTTGACGCACTTGTCTCTGCTCTCGCTGACTTTGCCTCTACCCGTCGCCTTGACTACGCTACCGCTCAAGTCTCTGACCCTGCCTGCCCTCCGTCCGTCGGGGGTGTGGCTGCCCTTGGCAGTGACGTCCTAGAGGACAGACAGTACGCGCTTGCTTTCCTGCCAGAGGCCGCTCCCCATCTCTGTTCCATGCTGCTATTCCCTGAGGGTGAACCCTCGCTGAGGCCACCTCGGGACCCTGGGCCTCCCAGCGGATACAGTAGCTGCCATGGAGCAGGGGATGGCATCTTGGAGATCCAGCGGTATATTCGTCGACGCAGTTCCCCCACCTGGGGTGAACGTAGTCGATGGCCAATGGCTCTTCAAGGTGAAGCGCCCTCCTGGAGAGCCGCCTGTCACCAAGGCGTATTAGGTTGCTCGTGGCGTCAGTCAGCGTGAGAGGGTTGACTTCTTTCAGACCTTCGCCCCAACATCGAAGATGACTACTCTTCGGGTACTGCTACATGTAGCAGCAGAGCGTGACTACGAGCTGCACTCACTCGACTTCTCCACAGCTCGAAGGCAGTCTACACGAGCAGGTCTACCTGCGCCGCCCCCAGGGCTTCTCTAGTACAGTACCTTTCCCCCACGGTACCGAGTGGCTCCTTCGTCGCCCCGTCTACGGCCTGCGCCAGGCGCTCCGTGCATGGCACGATACACTGCATGCTACACTTGCTAACCTGCAGTTCTTCCTGTCGTCTGCGGACCCCTCGCTCTTCGTTCGTTATGGCCAGACTCCGTTCTACATTCTTTCTTAACATAGACGATATGGTCTTTGCTCCTGCAGACAGAGACGCGCGAGCCTCCGTGAAGGCCGAGCTGCTGAGGAGACACACCTGCACTGACCTAGGAGATGCGCCGCTACCTTGGCCTGCAGATCTCCAGGGACAGAGCAGCGCGCACCATCACTCTCACTCAGTCACACTTGGTGCGCCAGGTCTTTCAAAGGTTCGGCCTTCAGTTCTCCTCCGCACAGCCCACCCCTCTGCCTGTAGACCACAGACTCTCTGCTCCAGTTCTGGAGGAGGCTGTAGAGCCTAGTGGTCCTTATGCAGAGCTGGTGGGTTGCCTTGTATACCTGATGACCTGCACTCATCCAGATCTCGCATACCCTCTCAGCATCCTGGCCCGCTTTGTGGCCTCCGGCAGACACCAACCACAGCACTGGTCTGCGGCTAAGAGGGTTTTGCGTTATCTAGCAAGTACATCGGGCATGGGGCTAGTGCTGGGAGGACGTAGACCCGTGGTCCTTACCGGGCACACAGACGCTTCTTGGGTAGACAACGCCGAGACTCTCATGTCCTCTCAGGGCTACTGGTTTAGCCTTGGTGCAGGTGCTGTCTCGTGGAGGTCCACCCGGTTGTCGTCTGTTGCCCAGTCTAGCTGTGAGGCTGAGATCTACGCCGGTGCCATGGCGGCGCGGGAGCTCCGTTGGCTGACTTTCTTGCTCACAGACTTAGGTGAATGGCCTAGCTCTGCCCCGGTCCTGTACGCTGACAACAGGGCCATGATCGTCCTGTGTCAGGAGCCTAGAGTTGAGGGCAGAGCGAAGCACATCCAGCTGCGGTACTTCCTCCTGCGCGAGCTACAGCAACGTCGCCAGGCCCGCGTAGTACACTTTGCCTCCGGTGCCAACAAAGCTGATATTTTTACGAAGGCGCTTGCGCCTAAAGTGTAGCTTGGACTTGTTCCTGTGTACAGCTTGGACTTGTTCGTGTAGCACCTCATTTGATTGGACCTTGATGGTGTATAACTCTTTATATATTACCCTGACTGGCCTTGTGGCTTTCTCCCAGTGGCTGGACTAGTAGTGCCGCCCTGGTCTTGTTCTTGCCTTGTTTGTACCCTTTTGACTGTTCTTTAGACCCCTGCCTCGGAGGTTGGACTAGTAGTGCCGCCCTGAGCTCTTTGTCTCTCATCAGGCTCTGCCCCTATCTAGACTAGGGTGTGTGTCACACATATTTGTGTATGTTTAGTAGACTACATAGGGTTTTGCCATACAAAGTACAACCCACTAGCTAAATACTTATGTATCCTCTCATTCTAGTAATTCGTTCTAACTCTAAGACCAAATCGTTCAAACACATTGCGTATGAACTTTGACCCTTAGGCTGTACGAAATACGTTTGAAAATGGCGAGGGCGTTTACTCTCGGAAATTCAACGCTTGTCGTGAACCGTCAGATTTACAAACACACAGTTTGACGGATGAGATTGCCTTTCGACTAACTAGGGGAAGTGATTGGCTTATGCGCCGTCAGATGAAAATATGGAAAAACTGGACGGTTGAGAAATGCTCAGCACCTGGTGTTCCAAATTACCTTCCGGAATGAACTTGAAAGGTACCCCTGAGTGACGAGAGTCTTGTTACCCCCCAATTCACCCACGGAAACACAACTTTCAAACGCATTGCGTTTGAAGGCCGCACCTCGCAATTTGGGCCGCGGGTTTTAAGCTTGCAAAATATCATTCCTACAAGTGCTCTATGCTAGGGCGTATTCCTACAGGATAGTGTTCAGTACCAGCAAACCCGAAATTGAGTCTGACACACAAAATAGTGAAATGCGAGGGTCAAAACACAAATTTATTTGCGGTTCTATTCGGAAGTGAGCGAACATTGGTTTGCTGGTACTGAACACTGTCCTGTAGGAATACGCCCTTGCTACTCACATTAGGGCGCTTCCAAAGTGACCGGCAACCTTTTCGTTTTCAGTTTCCGGTGCAACTCGGCGTGCTACTACATTTTGCTCTATGTTCTTCTCAGAGTAGAAAAGTTGACTAGAATGTGTGATACATGGTAGTTTTGTCTAAGGGATTGTACTCTCTATAAGACTATGCCTATCTAGCCTATAACATATACAAAATTTATGTTGGCACACCCCCTAGGCTAGACAAGGGGCAACGACCAGCACGAGACATGCAACTCATGGTGGCACTACTAGTCCAATCTCTGAAGCAAGGGTCTGAAGAC